TGATCTGTTATTGTTTGAGTTCTATGTCTCACTAGGAACTGATATTGTCAAGTGTTTTCTTATAATTAGTTTTGTTAAATGTATTTCGCATTTAATTTGTTAACATATATGAATTGTTACTAAGAAAATTACAACCAGAAGAAATATCACCAACAAAGTTTTATTATCAAACAGATAATCAAGAAGTACAGATAACTTATACTATTTTGTGTGGTATTTACAGAGAAGTTATTAATGATTTTTATAAGATGCCAAGATTGCACATGTTTTTTTTTTTCGCTCTGTGCCATCTGAACTTGAGTGAATATCCTATTCGTAAATATACATTATGATAAATTAACTGTACTGCTTGATTAAATATTTGATTATAAAACTTTGTTGTCGATACTTTATGTTGTTTTAAGTTTTTTGTAACCATTAGTGTCTGCTAGTAAACAAGATGCAAAATACATTTAATAATATGAATATAAGGAAGCACTTGACAACTCTTGATTCTAGTGAGACATAGAATTCAAACATGAATAGTTCATTAGTATTAAAGATGGTATTCAAGGGTGTTCCAGGGTCGGTAAGATTGGGATGGAGAATCGATGATTCAGGGGACCGATTAGAAATTTTTATTAAAATTGATCAGATTCGGAGAGGGAGGTCGAGCGGTTTTTTGAGAATTGACGAGCAAAAAAAAGAATAAAACGCTAGAACTTCGCTAGAAAAAAATCGAAAATTTCTCAAGATTGAGGGGTGACTCCCCCTTCGACTAGGACATCTCTGAAGGTACCACAAAATTATAGGACTCCTGCTTACATTCGTACAAGAATATTTATTTTATTGTGAGAAACCAGTATTATCACACTGTTGATTACCTATTTTGATAAGTATTGTTGTCTACTGCCTCTTGATACTATCGATTTTCTTTGTCTATTCTTCCATAGATGTTTATATGATGAAAATGAAAATTTTATTTTTATCCTATTAACATCAATGGAAAAATAGACAAAGAGAATCGACAATAACCAGAGATAAAAGAAAACCATACTTATTTAAACAGGTAAGTATTAGTTCAACTATATTAGTTTTTCATAATGAAATAAATATTATCGTATGAATGTATGCGAGAGTCCTATAATTTGGGAATGCCCTATATAAGCACTATAACTAGTAAAAAAAATCGTATTTTTCTCATATCTGGCGAAAACCACATGGGCAAATAAGTATTCGGATATCAGGGTAATTGAGCACGTTCATATATAGAAATCCACTATATTGTAATAAATTTAGAAAAAGTATTCATTAAGTATATGATTTGATCTATGTGTTTGACTATTTCTATACTTAACATGCATGCAATTCATCATCGAATTATTCATATCAAGTGAACATGAGGTTTTTCGTGACTAATAACATGAATTGCTAGAAAAAATATATTCTATCTTTTTCAATGATCATATATGTTTATACAAGGTCATGTTGTAAATTGCATGAAATTTAATATATTCATTCCAATTGAAAGGATCATGACATGTTATTGTTTTTCTACTTAAATCAGACAATAGATATATATATATATATATATTTCCGGAAACATGCAAATACTATAATATTATTATGAAAATATTACTTAGTTCTATTATTATTTATAGTTTTGCAAGAATGATATTGTGAATATTTTAGATCTATTTGATATGCTAATCTTAATATCTTTTGAAATTATAAATATAAAAATAAATCATATCCATCTTGAACCTTCATTCAATCAGATATATATATTTCTCCGATTTCAAACCTTCACTATTTTCTTTATTGTTTTCATTCGTAGTATTACTAAGATCCCTCTCAAAACTGATTTTAGGTTACCAATAATCAAATCGTACGAAATTTTTCAGGCAGACACCATGATATTTTCTTGAGATATTCATCAAATAAGGATAAAAAATAGCCGATTTAACAACACAAAAATTCTATGCGAATTTTTATTCAGTACAATTTATTTTTGTTTTATTTGGATTCTTACTTTTTCGTTGGAGTTTAAAGGTGACAAGTCGAGTACTGCAAAAAAAAATTAAACTATTTTTCGAAGTTTTTTTTTTTTGTAATACTCAACTTTTCACTCTTAATGTCCAACAAAGAAAGCAAATATCTATATAAAAAAAGGACTCTGTTATGTTTTGCAGCCTGACATGCTCTTTCAGATAAAAGAGAAACAAAATATATTGAATGAAGGTTCACAGAGAATTTTTCTATTGCTAAATGAGCTATTTTTGATTTCTGTTTGATAAATATCTAATGAAAATATCATGATATAGAGCTAAGAATGATATTATTTTGATAATCAACGAGACGAAATATTATTGTTTGAAAATAGATTCTAAAGAAATAATTTATTTTATAGTTTGATTAAAATAATTTTAAATTTCAAATAAATTTATAATAGAATTAGCCGAGAATTATTTATTCTTATTCATTTTTCATTTGATGTTTACTTTCAACTGAATCACTCAACGATTTTCATATTTGGTTTTTAACTACAACTAAAGTATGTCTTATTTAATTCATTTAAGTTCTATAGATGAATTAGATATTTTTCTATTGAATGACATAGTAAATATTGTCTCATCGATGTGTTATTATTAATACAAAGATATTTCGAAAATTCTAAACATCTATTTGAATAATTACCAGATTGATCTGTTTTGTTCTGAGTATATTTTCTGATTATGGCTGAGATTTTCTTTTCAAGGTCCATCTTTGATTATATAACCTTATGTTGTTGACCTTTTCTTTCTTAAATTCATCAACTTCAAAGACAGTTCCATTGGGCAATATATGTAAATTTACCATCCAACGTTGAATTTTAATCGAATTTTTAATCGTGCTTGTCAAAATGACTCACATTGTTGTTTTACACCCATCTTATTAAAATATTTTTTTTTAATATAGTCAAATAGACTGCATCTGCGTCAACGTTAAGTTTTTTTTTTTAATCTTTTAACGAATATCGAATATAGCAAATAAAAAGAAAAGAGGTTACTTGATAAAAAAAAAAAAGGTCTAGTCCTTGAAGATATATGGATATTTTTGATAAAACTACAATGACGAATCTTTCATATCATCAATGTCATAGGTAGTCAATGTGCAAATATGATCATAAAAAAAAGCATTCTTTTTTTTTCTACACATACATCAGAAGTTTTGAGTAGAGATTGAATCATAATAAACCTATACGAAATAGAGGACATTCAAGGAATTTTTGTAAAAAGAAAAATAGATGTGATATATTGTATGAAAGTTTTTATAGATAGATTTCGGCATTGAATATGAAATAGAAGAAAAAAATAAACTACTTTTTTTTTATATATTTCCGTTTTTATTTAAAATCTATTATTTATATGTGTGTGTTTTATGCTCAACAGAGTAAATGTAAATTAGATAAAAGACGATAAAATTATATAATTTTCTTCTGATAGATTAAAATCAAGAAATAATTATTCATATGTATTTAAATATTCATTAATTATTTTACTTGATTAATAGCAATTTGTCTTTTTTTTTTTATTGCATTATTTATTATACTAAATATTTATCAAGACTTAAACATAAATTAAAAAATATTTGTTTTTCTATGAGGTTAAGATCATTAAATGATAATTATTTTGAGTTGTAAAAGTATATTAATATTTGGATTATAAACACATATATTTATAGAGGTTCAATGAAGCGAAAATCATAATAAATTTTCTCCTCGATTAATAGGAATGTTATTTTTATTGTATTGGCTACACTCATCAATTTGCTTTTCAATCTATATTGTAATAATTTCAAAAGAAAAAAAAATGATGCATAAATTAAATACATAAAGTATGTATTTCACATGAATTAATTTAATGAATATAGACTATCAAAAATATAAAATAATCTGATAATTTTATATTTTAATATTTATTTTCGATTTTTTTTTTGCTTCACTCATATACAGACTTATAAAACTGTTTCTATTTTTAAATATCAGAATATATTCTGCTTAAAATAAATTCATGAAACCTTTAATGAACGTCATTCAAGAAAATTTCATGTTCATCATGACTTATGTCAATATTAGGTATTTATAAGGATTTCATATGGATGTAACACATTGATTTATTCTTTTTTCTATATAGATCTTTTCATCAAATAAAGCAAAGAATTTCTCATCAGTCGTTTCTTTCTTTCTTTTTTTTTTTTTTTTTTATTTTCTTTTTGCATCTTCTATTACGCGACGTGCATTGAACAACAAGTAGAAGAACTTTTCTCATCAATATTTCTTTGTCTGAGAAAAAAAAGCATGTTTGTCATTTGATTGAAGTACGTATATGTGTACTCTCTTCATCTTGGTCGACAGCCACATCAACTACTATCACACAATCTAAAAAGATATACTATGAAATTCTCTTGTTCATCAAAAAAGCTAACAACAACCAATGTTGATTTATTCTTCGTCTATTTCTCTCCTTTTTTTTTTTCTTTATATCATTCATTTTTTTTTATTTCTGTTGCGGTTTCCTCTCTTTTTTCTTCTTTTCTATATCTCGTTCTTTTTTTCTATCGACGCGCTACTACTCAAATTACTTTTCGCTCTCGCGCTTTGCCTTCTCTTTCGAAAACATTCAGCACACACTCCATTATTAACCACATAAGTTGTTCTGTTAGTTCGTGCACCGTGCACTAGAATTTCAGCTCATTTACAGTGAGAACAAGCAAACGAACTATTACATTGGAAAAAATAAATCTGTACGTATATAGTACAGTTTTTCTTTCTCTCATCACGTCTCTTGATTTGGTCGAACGTATAACATAATATGAAACAATCTTATTAATACCTCTTTTTTTTTATTTACTACATTATTATTTTGTCACACCCAAGAGACAGCCGTCATTAGTAACTGTAACAAAATATAAATTATTACACGAATGACAATAACGACAACAATAAGAACAACATAATTACATACAAATCAATAATAATAATGGGCGTTGATACTTGTTATCCATGTGCTAAATATCTTCTCGTAGTTCTTAACCTCATTTTTTGGGTATGTAAACATAACATGCATATATTAAAACCAAATAGATATGAATGTAAAGTATTAGCAGATGTAGTAACATATTTATTTCGCATGTAACAAAGAAAGAGATTGATTGAGCCGCAAACGTTTTTTTTATTCTGTTAACGAGGGGAAAAAAAGATGTTGTTCATTCATATTCAAGTTGTGAACTACTTGACAATTCTTAATTTTTTTTTTGAATAAAACTTGAAGGGAAAAAAAGTTTTATTCTTCCTCTAGGCAGAGAAACTATTGACATTTATGAATAAAAATAACTATTGAGAAATAGACTATTGAACAATGACATGACAAAAAAAATTAATTTCGTTTCGAAATTCTTTATTAATACTTTCTAATCCTTAAGCATACATACTGAGTGTCTTTTTATCTTTTGTTTTTCTTCATTATCTATCTAGTTAAGCGGTGCTGCATTGATAGTTTTTGGTGTTTTATTCTTATTACATCCTGAAGTACAGCATGTCATTCATCTATTCAATTATAATACATTTCCATTGTCATCTATTGAATTATCAGCAATTTTTATTATCCTTGTTGGTATCATTATCTTTCTTATTGGAATTTTTGGATTGTGTGGTGCAAAATATGAATCACGCACTTGTCTCATACTTGTAAGTTATAATTGTCATATAATAATGACAAATAAACGAAAAAAGTTTATATATATATATTTTTTTTTTGTCAGTATATTGTTTTGGTAACATGTGTTCTTTTGACGGAATTAGCCTTATTTACATACATCGCCATGTATCATGACCAATGGGAAGGACTTATAAAACAACGTCTTATATCACAAACGAAAAAATATAATCACTTGTATCCAAGCAAATACGAACGAGCACTAGACTATATTCAAAGCAAGGTAAAATGAAGAAGAAAGTATGAATAGAAAAAAAAAATGAATAGTTACGTAAGAAGCAAGAACGAAATGAGTGATGTACACAGTTGGTACACTTTTATTCCAAAGTTCACAATGTCTGTCTGCCGTCATATTGAGAAGACAAAAAAAAGTAACAAAAAAAAACACAGAAAGAGAAAGCAAGACATTGATATTGAAAGAATATCATAAAAAGAGATCTTGTAGTAATAATGACCATGTTAATGATGATGATAATGATGATGATGCAATAGTTATCATTGTACTTGATCAAAATGTGATTTTTTACTTTCTAACATATATATTTATGGATTAAGTTGAATAATAAACCTTTTTTTTTTTTTATTCATTGTCACAAAGCTTTTCTTTCTTTCTCATCTTTATGTTGTTTACACTATATTATCAAAGGACAATTACAATCGTAATGTTGCATAACATTCTAAACTTGTGCTGATTGTCCGTGAATAAAGAAAATGACTTAGTAGACGCCAGACATGACAGAAAAAAAAAAGCGTCGTCGCTTATCTATTTGCTATTCTTATAACACTATTAACTAGACAAATAAACTGGCGTCGATCAATAGACGATTGTTAGCCACAATGCAATTTTCTATTTTTCCTTTCTGATCGTCCTTGGTCAGAATTCGTCATCAATATGAGAGAGTCAATCAGAACTCTTGACAAGGACATACAAGAAAAATATAATGTCTTCCTTCCAACAGTGCCAGACATGTAGAATAAACACACAAAAAAAAAGACTTAATTAACTCAAACAAAAATAATGTAAAAAAAAAAATTTTTTTTTTCATATGATTTATTTTTAGTATCATTGTTGTGGTATTGATTCAGCATATGATTACAGTGATTCACATGTTCCAATATCTTGTTGTTCTATGGCAGATAAATTATCTTCTACAACAACTTGTTCTGTTGATCAAGTTAGTTTACGTGGTACACTCGGATGTTTTCGTGTATTAACTAAATTAACAATACATTGGATGAAATTTTTTATTATTGCTGAACTTGCTTTATGTCTACTATCGGTAAGTGACAGGAAATGTGTTATATGATTGAATCTATTTTGATGTTAAACATTTAGTTGATTGGTGTATTTCTCGCCATTTGTGTTTGTCAAAATGCAATGCTTTATGATGGATATATACAAGCTCCATACCATGTTTAAAATGACAACATTGCATTCGTATCTTTGAATTTTTTATAACAGGACCGATTTTTTTTTTCTTTGTTCTTTGAAGTCAATTTGCTTCTTCTATTTGTATTCAGGAATTTTTGTTTTATTTGTAAAAACATTCTATTGTATTTCTATGTGTGTATATTTAGAATATTTAGAAATGAAAATTAAACAAAACGGAATGAATAAAAGATTAACTTTGTAGTATTCTTAGCATAATAATAATAATAATAATAATAATAATGATAAATGATGTTTGATAAAGTAAACAAATTGTCTTTACAATAAACAGTTGCCTTTTTTTTTTCTTGTTCTACTGTTCAGAAATTTTTCTATGCAAGATTATTAAATGATTGATTGATTGATTGATGAAGTAACAATCTTGATATAAGACTACTTGCATAATATGGTTTGTCGACAGCTTGTATATTGTTATTAGATAAAGAAAACTACTAAGTATAATACGGTCAAGGATAATGTTTATTTCTTCTTATAAGAAAAACATTAATATTATTAGTATTCAAATAAAACTAATCACCAAACACACGAATAAGCGCCTTTTTTTTTTTGTTCTTTTTGAAAATCATTCGATGCAAATAAAAATGTCATCTAGAGTTTCTTTTTTCTTAATAACATAATATAGTCATTTTTTTCTCATTTTTGTATTACTATATATGATAAATGAGGCTGTATTTGCATTTCTTAAGAAATGATTAACTATACAGACTCTTAATGAATGGAGAACTAGATGTAAGAAGTCTGACTTTTCCTGAATTATTTCTTATAGATAATACTGAGTGTTATTCAAGGATAAAATGACATTTCCTTTTTTCTGCATTCCATCTTCTCTTCAATCATCTATTTCCTAGTGTCCTTGTCTCACAAGATTCTATTCTATACATAAAAAATAATGTTTTCAGTATTATATCATCTACATACATAAACAAAGATTATTATTAAGATTTAACAAGATTAAATTTAATTTTTCAAAATAAACTATCATTGTTCAATTTAAATGTTTTTTATTACATATAAAGTTTTTGTTTGCTTGCTTCATACTGTGCAGCCAATCATTTATGAAATAGTTTTCAAATATCAATTGATTTGATTTTTTTTTCTAATAGTTCAATTCAATATAAACACATTCAATGACAATATACGAATAGTTATAAAGAATATGCTTACAATGTCAATGTGAAGAATAAATGATAGTGTCGTTAAAATTACCTATTTATTGATTTTACTACTATAGTTGTGACAATTTTCATTTTGTATATTTGCAATCTCGATTATATATTGTAGGTTTTTATCTTGTATAAAAGAAATGAAATTCTTTTCAAATATTTAAAACAAAAATGATTTATAGTGATTTATCTGCTATTGTTTCATAATCGATAAAATCATTTTATCAATTCATGAAAACAGAGTGTTTTTTCTTTCTTTTACACACACACACACACACACGCAAAATCTATCATAAAACAAATCAATCAAAAAAACAAAAAAAAAAAACAAAAGTCATCCCAAATAAAACAATTACTTTACGTCTAAGAAATAATTCTAATTTTTAATATTATAATGAATATGAATTACAAGAGTTAAATTTGCTTAAAGCAAACTCTGTGCAATATATACATAACAATAAGTGTCTAATTCAATTTTGATATTGTTTTAAGATTATTATTTCCATACACCATGTCCTCCTGTTGATGATGATTGTTGTTGTTGTTGTTGTTGTTGTTGTTGTTGCTGTTGTTGTTGTTGTTGTTTTGATTTATCTTTTTTAACTCTTGTTTTTGGTTGAGAAAGTCGTTCAAATAATTCATTTGTATTATTACTTTGTTTTGTATTATGTATATCATAATCAAGTCGTTTTTTAACTCCACCACCATGTGTTGTTGTTGTTGTTGATGATGATTTATGTTGTCGTGGTGTTATAATATGTGATGAATGTGATTCATTTTGTAAAACTAAATCATCAAAAATTATTTTTTCATCTCGTTCAGCTAAATTTAATTGTTCAATAGATAATTGTATATCATGTAAAGATCGATTTGTTTTAGCTAATGGATGTTCTATAAAAATATTTTAAAGAATAAATTCAAAAAAAAAGTTTTTTGTTTTTCTATAGAAATTTACTATTTAATGTATTATTATTATTATTATTATCTAGAGCTGGTGATCGTTCAAGTAACATTTTAACATATCTAGTTAGAGATTCATTTGTTGATGATGTTTGATCATTTTTTTGATTTTCAATACTATCTTTTGATAGAGTTACTTGTACTTCTTGTTGATGATGAATTAAATTTGGTATAATTGAAGATGTTGAGCAATAAGATGATAGTGCTGGTTGATATATATGATTTATATTTAAATTACTATCAACACTAAAAGAATTTGATGATTTTTGTTGTTGTTCATAATTATTTGAAGGATATATTGAAAATAATCCACTATTACTAATAGGATCTGCTGAATGACATCGATTAATTAATTGATTATTATTATTATTATTATTATTTGTATGAAGAGATGATTGAGTCATTGTTTGTGGATACCATTCTTGTAATGAATCAATTGGAGTTGAACGAAAACGTGGTGAATGAAGAGTACTATGTGGTTGAGAAGATAATAAATGACTAGATAAAAAGGAAAAAAACTTTGATTTAATAAATGGGAAAACAAAAAACAAGACAAAAAAAAATAATAAAGAATTTACTTTTGATTATTATCAAACTTTTGTAAAATATTTTCTTGTTGTGTTGATAATGGTAAATGAGAATTAAATTCATAACCATTAGTAACTCGATTTGTTTGATCAACAAGTGAATCAATACGTGATGAAAGTGATCGTATTGTTGACATATTAGTCGGATAATCATTATTAATTAATGGTAATGAAGGAAGATATTCAATATTTTTTACTTTAGCTTGTGTATCACTTAATGGTAATTTTATTTGATTAAATTGTATTGTTGATGATGGATTAGTTGTTTCATTTTGTGGAAAATTTATTTTTGTTGATCCTTTAAAAAGTGCTGTTTCAAATACATCTTGTAATTTTTTTGCTAAATCTTGTCGTTCAGCATTTGTTGTTGATTGCATATGTTCAATTTCATTTTTCATTTGATCAAGTTTATTTAATAATATTTGAACACGATTTTCATGTTCATGACGTTCATGTGATAAAATTTGTTCATGTTTTTCTTCTAAATCAGATAATTTACGACGATGTAATTCATTTAATTCTTCTTCAATTTTAATATGTTTTGCATGTTGTTCTTCAAGACGTTGAGTTAACTAAAAGAAATTCAAATTAGAAGAAAATTTACGATTGTCTTTTATAAGCTATCCTCGAAAATTGATCTTGAGTCAGATTTAAAGTCCTGCGAAATAAACTTTTTTCGAGCCTCGAATCCCGTTGATCGAAAGAAACGCAAAGATGCGACTCTACTGAAATCCTGCGGGTAGAGCTTGTCAGATCCAAAGTTTTCGGACCGTAATCTGGACTCAGTCGAACCTCACTTTGATACTCTTAATGAAATTTTTCAATCGGATTCGGATAGTCGCCCTGAAGATACGAGATCATTTTTTTTTTGAGTTTTTTTTGTATTCAGTGACTAGCGCTGTGTCCTACACATTTCTCAAACGATTAGCACCCATCGAGTCAAAAATAGTTTATTTGGAAACTCGAAATTCTTTATGACTCTCATTCTATAGATTTAATGTTTTTTGTTTATTTGAAAGGGCATGTCAGACTGCAGTAACCTCTTTTTAAATTCTTACTATTTATGCGAGAGGGAAAAGAATGACAGGTTTAATACCTTGAAAAATTCTCAAAAACAGCCATCTATTTATAGACGTAGTTTTTTTATATAATAATAAAAAAAAGGTTAATTAAACAATGGACATTGGAACTTCACATATTCTTTCAAACGAAAAGAAGAAATTAGCAACAATAGAACCTCTTCAAGAATCTTGAGACGCCCGTTCAGAAAACGAGATGCCAATTGAAAAATTTCGAGTTTTCTGACGAAAATTGACGTTTTCTTTTTTGAGGGAAGAGACTTAAATGAACTTACTTTAGTTTCAGTATCACGCATAAGTTGAATTCTAAGAGATTCAGTTTGAGCACGATATTTTGCTTCACGTAATTCAAGTTCCATTTTTAATACATTCTTAAATAAGAAATGAATAAAAATTATATTTCGAAATAGAATTTTTACTAACATTTTCACGTCGTTGTTCATCAAGATCGTTTTCTAATTGTCGAACTTTAATTTGATTATCACAATTTAATTTATGTTGATCACGTAACATTTGTTCGATTTGTTCTTGTTTTTTATCTAATTCAGATTGCATATCATTAAAACGAGTTTCACCATTTTTGATTTCATTACGTAAATCATTTTCAAGTGTTGACCATCGTTGTTTAGCCTTTAGAATAACAATAATAAAAGATCATTCAATTACTACATTTTATAAAAAAATCTTTTTCTTTCAAAGCAAGATTATAGCGACTTCTTTTTTGATTTTTGAAGCCTGAGAAGACGAATACAAAGTTTGCGATCAGGACTAGTCCCGATTGCGTTGTAGTTACACTCTAATTTGGACACTATAATCATTTAGTTTTTGAAGTAGCCTGATTTTATAGAGAAAATATTTCTCTTCAAAATGTGGTGTCAGAATATTTCTTCTTTCCTCAGAAGTATTCAAATCTACAATGGGAATGACAAAGTTTCATACATAACTCTAGTAATGACTTAAAATCAAAGAATATTAAAATAATATTTCACTTGTTCTGAGTCTTTTGTTAATTGTTGTATACGTTGTTCATTTTGTTTTATTTTTGATTGTAAATTTTCATAATCTTGTTTGATATTTTCATTATCTTTTGTTAAACGTTCAATAGATAAATTTTTTTCATTTAATTGTATATCAAATTGTTGTTTATCATTTGAAAGTTTTTCTCGATTTATATGTTCATT